CTGACTTTCTATAAGGTGGAGCATGCGGAACACCTCCAGATATACTTATGTTTCGAGAGGAGTTTTTCGTAACAAGTGATGGTTTGTTGGCATTCTTACTCTCAGCAGGCTTATTGAATACAAAGTATTCTTCCCCATCATTAGTCTCAACCCTGCGAAATTTGTTCATCGTGGTGAGGTTACTACGTTTGGGGGAAATTTCTTAGAACAACTTGCAGAAGTTCTAGTCATTTTAACATCTTTCGATGAGGCTTTATTTACAGGGGTACTGGTATCTAAATCAGTTCCAAGTTCCATTGGCAAGCGTGGGTGTTGTGTAGATTCCAGATTGCTAGTTTCAGCACTAGGTGTCTGTTGCGGTGCACGATCACATCTTGGTAAATCAAGGCTAGAAGATGTGAAGAATGTGTCCCAGAGAACTGCATATCGAAAAAGTTTTATAAAGTCTAGAGATCCAGAAAAACTTCGTGAGTGTAACAGCTCTCGTGGGACATCCCCAACAGATAAGTTACAAGATGCAAGACAAACACGGTTGTGTTTTACACGTTTGCAAGAGGTGCATACAAAGATGAACTGTGAATCAGTGAGCAAGTTCAGTGATAGGCTGAATGTGAAATCAAGGCCTCACTCCGAATTATGTGACGATAACAGTGTGGTCAAGGAGTCTGTATTTTCAACTGGTAAGCCATTGCTTCATAGAGTGTCACAGAGGGGAGTTACAGTCTCAGAGGACAGTTATGACCCCACAAGTTTACAAAGTATTACTGGTCAGAGTGAAGATATAGAATCTTTAAGAATTTGTGAGGAGGAACCCAAATTGTCTACTTCTCTTATTAAAGAGTTTGAAAATGATGAAATTGACGGTAAAGTGAATATTCATGATAATGATCATGATAGTGCAGATTTGTCTTTGGTTGATCATGATGAGATGAGGGGAATGCCTACTACTGCTAAGCTGAACAAAGGTTCTGTACAACTTGAACGTGAAGTAGAATTAAATGCAGATGGAGTTGCAGAAGGCATGCATACTTGTCAAACCGTCAGCGTAATTGATCAGCGTGTAGCCCACCTATCATCAGATGGTAGTGCTAAACCGGAGCTGATAGTAAAAGACAGCAGTGATGTTAGTCTGGCAGCTAGACAACTTTCTGAAAGCTGAACAACAACAGCTTCTGATCGACCGCTAAGTTCATCAACTGGTATCAATCAGTCGTCGTTGGTGTTGTCGTCCACATTAAAGGTGACGTCCATGAAGTCATGTACCTAGTGCTATGACTATGCTAGTATCGGTCCGTTTGAAAAGACGAACGATGTTATTCAGTTTAGTGAGGATAAGCCAAGTGTGTAAGAGAGGGTAATTGTTAAATTGACTTGCATGAATAAAGGCATTTAAAGTTTCAAGTTACTATTTGAATGCTATTATCTTTGATGTAAATTACTCTGTGTCTACGCTTGGTCGGTCAGATACATCGTGTGTTTGTTAGTCATCTATATTCTGCGATACAATGACATGGGCGTGTTACCGTTCTGAGTTGAGGATACAGATGATAGAAGGAGGTTAGCAAATAAACTCTGCGATGATTCTCCAACCCAAAGCGTCAACCTGAGAAGGGTTGTAGGCGTACTGCTGTAAGTCCTACAATTCTTCAAAGGGTAGCGCATCAATGAGCAGTCCAATGTGCTTGGTGTGTGATTTTGTACATATGTTCATATTGTATATACTGAATTGATATCATCTGTCATCTAGCTGTTGGTAATTCTCTTTGTTTGGGAATCATCGGCAGTACGCACCCACTGGGTTTCGAACCCAGGACCTTCCGGTTACAAGGCAAGCTCGTATACCATTCAGCCACTGGGACCCGATTCAATGGCTCGTGAATTTTAACTTCTACCAATTCGTGATTTAGCGCGACCCCAACCATTGTCGTTGGTGGGACATCCATCCACACACGTGACATCTAATTGGACCTCACTGGTCACGACTTCTCACTAGAACTCAGGAAACTCCAACCTGTAGCAAGTCACTAGCGAGCATCAGATTAACTTTCTATAGTTTTGGTTTGTAAGGATTAGTTATGTTTTACGAGTTGATCACGGATTGATATCAGTTAGAGAACCATTGAAAACCAGGGAGTACTGGACAGCTGCTGTTTCATCCTAGTTTGGGAATCATCGGCAGTACGCACCCACTGGGTTTCGAACCCAGGACCTTCCGGTTAATTCTCTTTGTGTCCGAACGACTTCCACTTGTATCATCAACCTGAGAAGGAATGTAGGCGTACTGCTGTAAGTCCTACAGCTCTTCAAGTGTAGTTCGTCAAGGAAGAATCCACCACTTTGATGTGCTGATTGTACATATGTTTGTGTTAAATAATTGTGTGAGTTCCAATTATTGTAATTGTTGGTTAATCTTGTTTGTGTCCGGACATTCTCCAACTTACAGTCGTCAACCTGTGAAGGGTTGTAGGCGTACTGGTGTAAGTCCTGCAATTCTTCAAGGGAATTCCACCGAGACATGATCCGCGAGGTTATTTGTACTGTTTGTGTATACGTGTGGTGTGTCTTCTCAATTTGTGATTTTGGATTAATCGTGTTTACTCGTTGTTTTCGTACCTTGTTGTTATTGCATAATTTTGTTAAAATTTTCGTCGTGATTACTTCTGAGGTTGTGTCGAGTCTTCCACATCGGTGAATGAATTGATTGATATGAAAGACAGCAGATGGGTCGCATACGCCGCGGAGGCTATTGCTGAGAATGACATGCAAACGGAGATAATGACTGGCTGCGGTCCCACACGCCGGGGTGCGAGAGTGTAGACGACTGAGGCTTGCATACGTCACCGTTACTAGAACTGAGGCAGAATGAGTGACAAGTGATCGCAGTGGTAATTGGTAGTGAATAGATAAGAGGATGTGCGTAGAGTATCATGAGGTGGTGCTATGGTTACGTTGCGTTCTGCAAGAGTCATTCTAGCAAGTGGCGATTGTGTTGCAAGATGTCGAGAGGATGCCTTTAACTGGAAGGCGTGTGTCGTCGTCGACGTGTGTGACCGTGCTGTGGGTATGCTTGTGGTATTTTGGCTTTGCTGTTTGTTCCCCATTTCAGCTCTGTCCGTGTGACCCAGGTTCTCGCACTGGCATGCAAGTCAACGTGTATTGGTCGTGATGGAAAAAAGGGATGGATTGCTTTTTTGCCGGGGAGTGTCAATGTAGTTGAAGATTGAACGATCAATTCATGGTTGTTTGCTCAAAGCCAACTTCTCCAATTTTCGCGCAGGCATCAATGCACCAGTCATCGTCTCATCGGTCGCTGTTCAGAAAGAAGTCAGACCAAAACTGTCAGAAGTAATATTGTGATTTATTATTGTAATATTTGTTCATAGACCTTAGTTAAAACTTAATTTTCAAAGTGCCTATATGTTGGTGTTACAATAAAGAATTCTCGAGTAGCCAATCGGTGTTTTGGTTTTTGCGTCCGTTATTACTAAGCGTTTCTGAGAAACTTCAAGGAACAGCGTGAGCCCGAGCGTAGCAAGAGCTGGGCATTGAGGGTTTACGAGATGTGGCTGACAACAACTCTTGGAATTAGGAAATGTAATTTTACTTTCATTTCAACGTCAAGCAGGTGTTAAATGAACGTTTGACGATGGCTAAATTTATGTAGGAAATTCACAATATTTTGTGAGGCATAAACAGTCGTGGTTTTGTTAAGAGTGCCCCACACCAACTTCACCCATATAACATTTAGGCGGAAAGACTTTGTTCGTCCTTACTAAACTTAACAGGGAGAATATTGTGAAGTAATTCCTAAGTGATGTTAAATGTCCTATACTGGAGAGAGGGGGAAGGCGTTCTCAGTCTTTTACTTTGTGTATATTCTCAGTGCAGCTCAATGTGCGATAGCATTCATGGGGATAAATCGCCAAACAAAGTCTTACATACCTTCTGCACAACTTGTCCGTATTCTGACTACGGTGATAACCTTGTTTCACGTATGAGCTTCAGTTTATGAAGTCGGAATCTTACAGCAATTATATCTCCACGCTAAATAAATGCCACCTGAAATACAATTTTACCACAGTGCTACACAGTGTGATCATAGTGTTAAAGCCTCGTGTCTTAAAATGAAGAGTAGGCTATGCTAAATATGCAAAGACACGTATTTAATGCTGAAGTTAAACTATAAGTGCTTGAAACAATCAAACCGAATAAGACAACAAACTTTTGTCAAATACACTGAATAAACTGGCACGATTTCACGAAGATTCTAAAAAAAATTAAAATTTTGAACTTGCTTCCTTTTTCGATCCATTGCATTGCTCAGATATTAGTACCAAGCAACATTTTATAGAAGTACAGCAAATGTATCGCAATTCAAGTAAATTATGACGCTGATATAATGTACGTCAGGAAACATTTGGATGCGAAATTTCATTTGAAAGCACGTAAAAAATACAAAATTTCATGAAATCAGCCTAGCACCGGACTTCAACCACACAGTTAACCGGGAGATGCAATAAAGCCACTCACCGGAATCACCCAAAGTTACTCTTCTAATTCACTACGGGCTTCCTCATAACAACCCAAGTAGAATAGCGCATCAAAGAGTGAAAACTCAAGTTCACTGCCACTTCTCCTATATCCTCGAAATTCTCTAGCCGTACTGTACTGTTCGTGTAAATCCTTCACCGAATGCTGGGTAACCATATATTGGACTTCATCCGAATGGTGAGTCTCGTCAAAACTCTCACCACACTGTTATTGGGTATACAAATAAATTCGGCTGTTGCCACTACCCGCCTTGCCTTCTGTCATTTTTCTGACTACTCCACCTACTCTTATGCCTATCCTACCATAGTGTTTTTAATAATTAATAGATTCCATCGTCCATCTGTTTGAACGTCTTCCTTTCAGTATACATAACCCACACTAATTATATTATCATCTTTGTTTTTGTCACGCCGGATTAATGGGTGTGAAGGTCAGCTTCGTTCACAGCTGCTAAACAGTCTTAACATACCACATTCCGCAAATCATGTAGAGTCTTTCCCGGATTACTCTCCTTGAAGTCAGTCAGAGCTACAGCATTCGAGCCACAGCGCACACTGCGCAGGAGTTTACAGGAAATCATGGAACTTTGCCTAATAAGCAAGAATTGAGAATAAAGAAACTACTTTAGTTTAAACCAGCTGGTAGGGACAACATTGAGTATTGGATCATCCTTGTTTTTTCGAACTTGGCGCTCTCTCGCTGTGGCAAATACAAGTGGGGATGGACGGACGGCCAATTTTTGACCTCAAGGTTGCAGAGCTCCGCAGAGAGCTAGAAAAGCGCAACAAAGATAAGACGGGCGTAAAACAAGTGTTGCTCGATCGCCTGAAGGAGGTTGTTGCATATAAAGTGTCTGACTTCTCTTTAGACTCTGGAAAGAGATGGCCATGATCCACAAACCTATCGTTTCAAGAATGAAGATGTGCGCATGAGGCTTGTCCCGGAAACTTCTGATCACTGGGTTTGTTCTAGCATCATTTATATTTACACTTGTTTAGTCCATAAATGGTGACGCACAAGAGCATGGTAAGCTCAATTTCTATAATGTATATGCTGTTACTATGTTTGCTTATTTTCTTTTGTATGCTTAATCACAATCGTGAATATACTCAGCAGGTTAAGATCTATGGTGTTTTCCCATTGGTACACTGATTGTTAAGTTGCTGCTTGGAATTCCGAATCTTGTTGAGTGAGAAAATGGACAGATGGTCGATGACATGTTATGATTAACGTGACACTGCATGTCTATTGCAGTCTCAGTAGCTTGTAATACTGGGTTTTCTTATAGTGTTGAATGCTGCTGCTAAATGCAGGTTGGGTTCTAGTGTCAATATATAAACACCCAACAAACCGCCCTGATGTGCTGCCTGAACATATCCAAAATAAGATGACTATGGAGGTTGTTTTTAAAGCATCAGTTCTCAGCCTCACGTCTAAAATGAACTACTTCGGGTGCACTTTAACATGGCGTTCAAAAGGTATAACAACTGCTATTCATGAAGTCTTGTTCAATTAACTTACCGTCATGTTTATGTATGTGGATTTAGGAAACACTAATTTAAGACACTACGTGTCCGCAATTCAATCCCTACTGACTGGAATAAACATACGGGTATCACTTGAGGTGCTGATGTATCAGCCTCGACGGAAAGCGAACTGATTTGTTGTTAAGGTGTATTTTCATCAATGTACAGTGGAGCGCTCAAAACGTCTGGTTCAGCAGCATTGAGGTTGTATTTGGGCATATTAAGCCGAACGTTTAATCCATCATTAGCCACTTCATTTACTATGGCTGGAAAATTGACTGTCAGTAACTGGCCTGATTAAAAAGAATTACTTCGAAGTTATGTCATTCAAACTGCTAATGATAATTCCTGACTTTCTGCTCTTATTCTGTTGAAAGAAAAAGTACCTTCTACCAAAGGGCGTGATCCGTCAAATGATGTGTTGAGTGATGCATTTATGATCAGTGATCAGTGTGTGCAGAAAAAAATAACTGAAGAGTCCGTCCCATACGTTGTTCAAGTTGGCGAGCAGGAAGAAGATTTAGATTACGACCTACAAAGTGAAAGCAATGGCATGTGTGAGAATATGATTTCCTGCAAGAATGTTCAGTGCACTACCGGAGAGCCTGGTAAACTTGAAGAAAAACCAGAAAGGTTCGTAATTCTCTGTCGAATGATATGATTATATATGTCCACTTCTGACACAAGATGTTTCTTTTTTAGTTCCATTGTCACGCAGCAGACTAGTGGTGCGTCCCAGTTAAATAAGTCATTTGTCGTGCAAGAAAATCGTAAGAACTTGTGGATAAGTAACTTACCAACATCAGTGAAGGCTGCAGATCTAAAAAAACACTTTAGCAAAATGGGGAAGGTATGTTATGTGTCAGTGAGGATAGTTTTTCAGGTGATATCAGCAACCGTGGTTGTAAGTACCCGTACTCCCGGTAGCTGTTTTGGATTTGTACAGATGGCTTCTGCAGAGGACGCTGCTGCTACTGCTTTAGTTTATAATCTAACCGAATTCGGGGGTTGCATTCTGAGGGTTGAATTAACGGACCGCAAAGCACCAACTTCGTCAAGAAAGCCGAATGGTAGAGCATCTGTGTTAAACAAAGTAAAAACTACGAATGTACCCAGTCCTCAGCAAATAGCATCCAGTTCCCTGATTTCTCGAAGACTTTATATTGGTACGTCCGCCTAATTTTATTATGCTAATGTCAATAGCAAACAGAAGGACCCAACTTCGTCGTATCGCAATCAGAAACGCTATGCTTAGAGAACAACGTAGGAAATCAGAGATTTTATCTACCCAACTTCCACCTTACTCCTCCAAGAGTATTCCAAACTCAATGTCTGCGCGCCAGCTGACTAGGCCAAAATACGGGATGTCAAAGGATAATTTGGTGAGTATGAAAATAGATGTTGACATTTTTGGAGATACCAAATTTATTATGATAAATGTTTAGCCCCATTGTTAGTGATACCTGATTGTAGTTTCGCCAAATGTCGACTAATGAAGCATGGATACAGTGTGTTTATAAACCAAGTCGCTCATGTTAACTTTCATGCATAATGAAGAGGAAGCTATTTAACGCTGAAGGCACGTCATTTTGGGAGCACGGACTCGTGATTGACATATGAATAAATGTTGGAAGTTGCAGTCATAAATGTGATTCTCGTATCTACTGGCAGAAGTTGTCTGTACCTGCTGCAGTTGACGGCATTCAATGTTACCAATTCCAATTCGGCTTAACTTAGGTTCAACGGAAAAAGTATCCTCAAGAGACCAAATGATTTGCAAGCCTCCTGTAATCTCAGCCGTCGAAAAATTTCTCTGCAGATATTTTGGAAGAATATTTTGAATATGTAGTTCGTCTATATTGGTCTTGGCTTCCCAATTCTTTTCTGAAAAGCCTTATATATAAGTGATCCGTGGGTCTGCCAGTTGCTTAATATTGCTACTCAGCAGTAATTGACGGTTTGGTTTTTACGTTTTAGCGTCCTCGAGGTCGTTTGCTACAAGCTTCGTACTATCAAGGTACGCCACAAAGACAGACATCTACACGAGCCAGGTAGGTACTCAATTACGTTTTAAACAATCTGCATATCTTTTGAGAGGTGTCTCGATTGGTCGTGTGTGCGTTTGATGAAGAAACACTTTTTCCGTGAAGACTACATAGCAATCTTTTTTTTGTTTCACTTGCTTGCAGTGGGATGTGAGACGTCGAAGTTTTTAGCAGAATGTAGACTGAGTTGTTTAATTGGTTTTGTGAGTCAAGCTGCTTCGGATGAAACATTTTTTATTTAAAGCTGCGGAAAGTACCTTAAGGTTCAGTCAAAATTTATTAAGTGTCTCAGAAGAATTTTTGGTACGACCTAACGCAACGCCAGTATATTATCAGAATGTGCTTAGTACTAGTGTATGATTCACTGAATAAATTTTTGTTTTGTAATAAACATGAAAAAAATTAAGCGAATCACCACTCAGATTACTCCTGTGGTCGATTGGATTCCAAACTGGTTATCTAAAATTCCAGTTTCGACAGTTTACTAAGCATTAATTTCATGCATTGATTCAAACATGATGTAACCCTCTCCAACCTACTCCTGCCTGCGAATTGAGGTAGACAAGGTGATGTTTCAGGGAGTGAATGCTTTTAGTTTATTCGGCTAACCTTACTTTGTTTTCTATACCAAATCCTTTGACTGCCTGTGCAGTTGTTTCACTACTCGGCGACCATCGCAGAGGCTACAGTGGTTAATAATTTGTAGTTTGTATGGGTTCAGTTTTTATAGCTAGTTTTCATAGCTATATTTAAAATAATGGGATACTTGTCTTAACAGTCAGATGTCTCAATAATTATGCTTCAACCTAGGGGAATGAAAGTTAGGAGGCTATAGGTCTTTGACGAACACCACGTACCATAGATGCCTCAATGTATATCACAACGATTATTTTTAATGTGAATAAATGGTTTTAAAACCTCAGTAGAGAAAATTATCCCTTGCGAATACTGCCACAAATGTCACCTTCAGGAATACTAATGTGAAAAATTGTGATTACTCCTGTAATTGGAAGAGTCCAGATACCAAGATAGTGAGCGGAGCAATAACACCATATGAGGTAAATTGCAACGGATCCATTTTACTACACCGGTATCTTGTCAACCCGTAACCATCCGAATAGCTTTATTGCAATTAAGACATACTTTGATTCACTGAAGATAAAATGTCCAGCGGTAGAAATAATAATCGTTTGTAAATAAATACAACCTTCCTAACCACTAACGTTAGCTGTTGTAAGATTGTGTTGGAATATTTAGGGGCTGGCAGACAAAAACGTGACACCAAACCATGCAATATTTTACTGTCAGTGTGAGCCACGTTGGGTGTTAACTACTTGGCTAGAGTCTTCGAGTCACTAAGAGTCAATAGTTTGAAGCTGTTGATGATATAGCTCAGTCGTTTTTAATGGTGCAGGTACACTCACGATGTGACCTTCAAAATCCGTTAAACCCTAGTGATTCTTCAATGTGTTTATTTTTCCTTCCGTACATACCGGTTCATTATAGTTGTTCGGGATTTTTTTCTCAATCAAGTGCTGTATAGTGTGTACCAAGATAACTTCTGCACTTTCTTGTTAAGTTGTACTTTGGAAACTCACTCATTACTTAGTATAGAGACAAACATCAGGTCGCTGAGTTGACTCAATGTTATTATTATATTCCAGTCATCTTCACAAGCACCAACTACCATTGTCACCATGTTGATTTTGAAACTCCGAGGTCACGAGTGAAATAAGTACAACATGCTACACGTGGAAGTTCCATTTTTTCAAATAATTTCGTAACCTAACAACAGATAATTACCTTTAATACCCGCTGAAATTCTTGACATGCAGCTGCTACTTTTATGTGCTCACGTTCGCACATCCCGACTGTGTTCTGATCATTCAACTTTGAACAATAGTACACAAGTTCTTCTTGCTACACACCATACAGCACTTGATTGAGAAAACAATTCCAAGGAACTAAAATAAACACATTGAAGAATCACTAGGGTTTAACGGATTTTGAAGGTCACATCGTGAGTGTACCTGCACCATTAAAAACGACTGAGCTATATCATCAACAGCTTCAAACTATTGACTCTTAGTGACTCGAAGACTCTAGCCAAGTAGTTAACACCCAACGTGGCTCACACTGACAGTAAAATATTGCATGGTTTGGTGTTACGTTTTTGTCTGCCAACCCATTACCCTTTCGAAGGCAATTCTATGTCGTTAAGGTTTGCTTGACTAGGTAGCTGATAAATTGGCATGCTCAACACATGGCGCTGGCATCTCGAGCAACGCTCCTTCACGACCCCTTTGCCTGACAGAATAGCTCATTGTCGGAGATGGCACGAAAACACTTATGGTCACGGGTAGCTAGCCTCTTTGGATCTCGCACATCCAATGATTGCGTCTCGCAACCATAAAAAGACAGAAACTTCTGCTCAATACGCGTATCCTTTTGTCCGTAGCCAAATATCTACCCCAGGGATCAAGTAATCTGGTAAATGCCACACATCCTCTTGCATTGGTGTTGTGATTTCCCCAGCAATCACTCCATTGGGACTGATGAAAATTCCCAGATATGTGGAGTGACCAATACGCTCAGCCACTTCACTGTCTGTCTCTGAAGTAACAGTCGTCGTAGTCCATTCCTGTAGCATCATTTCACATTTGACCGTAGCGAATCGCAAGCTAAGCATACAAAGATTTCCGCACAATGTCTTGATTGTTTTGTCAGCTTCTTCACTTCTAACTCAACCAGACTATACCCTGGTAACATAGGTCCTTAAGTTGCTAAGGCATATTACCGTCAGTTCTATTAGTTAATCTCTGATGAAACAAAACAAAAATGAAGACCGGCTGTCAGATCACAGTTCTCGATAAGCGCTTACACGACTGCGTGATTTCGACTTAGATGCCTTGATTAGTGATATACTTTCTCAGTACTTCCTTTATGGCCAGACGTCGCCCGAGCACCTCTTGGCCGATTGGGTCCCATTTCACCTTCAATTTAAGGAACACGGTAAGTGCTGGCCGCGGGTGATATACCTGTGTTACAAAATGTATCAAAGAGTAAAGATTAGATCGATATACCTTCTTCTTTGCCTCAGGTCCGCGTGGTTTCCCTGGGTTAGATTTTTCCAGATACTGCTCAGTCTATACAGAATTATTTAAATACTATATCACTGAAGCTAATCCCCGTATGATAATCACAGGAGGACATCTCTCTACCGTAATCGATGTTAGGTGATCAATGCAGCCTACAGGAATATCTGGACTTAGTTTCCTTAATTGTTGGCACTCACCAGAAGGGTATTGCAAACACAACTCAGTCCTGTAGTCAAAGATCACTGGGCTATTCATACAACTAACTTGCTGTAGCACTGCAATGGAAATAACTAGTGGTTAGTTTTCATGAGTTTATTACTGGATAAAGCTGTAGCTGAAATGCACTGGCATCTTTAACCTTTGGTTTCAGGTTATCGACAGCCCTTACCAGTGTATCTACACCTGACTGGATATCGTGCCAGACCTTCTGGGGATGCCTCCCTATCAACTTCAGATACTTGTTTAGTTATTTCTTGCTTATGTGAAGACTGTGTGTTCACATAAAGTGCGGGGTGTATCGATTCCATAAATACTTGTGTTCCATGTCCATTCAGTCTTAGGCATATGCATTCGTCGACTAGTATGTAATCAAAGTCTACACATGTCTTCCTGTAGCCAGTGACAGCCTTCTACAGATATAAGCTTCAGCAAAAACAATTCGAGTAGAACCATATTATGATTACTGGCATTGGTTTTTACGAGTAGTGCTGGTTCGCACAAACGCTTCTCTCTTCATTTCATCTGGTTTTTTTACTTAATGCAATGTTTAATATTATCATCACCACTATGTATTTATCATGCAACCGAAATACTTTCCTTTCATCGTCTCAGGTGCAATCATGGTGCACAACCGTTTTCGCATAGAAGACAGGATTATACTAGTCGCAGAGTAACTGAGTCATATCAGATTCGCAGAAGACCCACTCTTACTCGACAGTCATCAAAATCACCTTTGGCGAATGCCCGTACAAACTCAAATACCTATTCAGAATATGACCGAGGTCATTCTTCCTTGTCCTCTTATTTATCCCAAATGGGTCCACCTACTACCAGGAAGCATGTTGCAGCCTTCCGTAATGAACGTCCTGTGGAGAAAGATATTCGCGAGACACATCGTTCTGGTTTCTATCAACGCAGGCATCATCATCCTCAGTCTCCTGCTCGATCCTATGAATCTAGTCGACTCATGCGAGAGACGCAAGAGCCACTGTATGCAGGAAGAAATTCATTTAAGTCAGCATATGATGACAGATCTCATCGAAGTGAATCAACACATCGTCCAGAACCCTAGTAAGTCACAGTTCAGAAATATTCTATGAGGTAGACTTTTTGACTTACGGACACCAGTTAGAGAACCATTCAGAGTAAAAATGCATTGAATATTTGTTTCGTCGTAGTTTGGGGATCTTCAGAAATAAGCAGCTAGTCTGGTGGAGCACACAGACTCATCTCATAGCTCTGTGGTGCTATTTCCAACTGCTGGCATGCATTTGAGTACACACTACTTAAGAGTCGCAAACTAAGGGGAAATAAATGTTCGGTGCTTTCTGTAACAGGCCAATTCGTGATGTATTCTACCCTAGAGTGAATCAGATCAATACAACCCAACAATTGAAAATATTTTTATTCGGAGTTTTAGACTTGTGCGCTAGAGAAAAGTAGTTTACATGCTTAGGTATCTTATTCAGTGAGCAGACAACATGCACATGTCATTGGGTCACATTCATTGTGTCACGTTCGGCCATACTATATGGCTGCCTAAGCATTGGGCTTCGGATCCGTAAACTACTTGTTGACAATTAACAGTCCAGCAGCTCTTATAACTTTTTAGTAGATAGTGGTCTTTCTTTTAGGTGTCTTCACCACTCTAGTTGGTAGCTAAGTCCTGTTCAACAAGTCTGAAACGCCTTCATGGTCATTTAAAGGTAGTCCATTAATACTAATTACGTACATGACATGTCACGTAGTCAGTAATAAGGAGGTTAGGCAGACTGAGCTAGGTGAGGAGGAGAAGCCAATCACTGAAGATCATTGATGAAATCACTATGATATGTATCGAGCACAAAGAGCCACAGGTGAAATAAATATAAGGCCAGAACAAAGTAAAAGGTGGTTTGAGCTACGTAGGAGGGTGTAGACTGTCTGAGTGTTCTCCAGTATTTTTAGGAGACACAGATAGGAGCTGTTGGTGGTGACATGCCAACTGTGGCACACGTCTTCACTTTGGTCATTAATGTGCTAAAACTCCTGGGTAATTCCTATTAAATTATTTTCCACCGTACTTTCTTATCCACTATTATTTTACTATATTTCTTTTGTAATTTTTCTCACGCTCCACCATAGTTGCAACTTGCGCAGCCTGAGTTTTATGTGGAGCCCTACGTTAATAAGTCAACTTGTCTCTCAGTCGAACGTCTAATTACTGGTAAAAAGTTACCTAAAAGATAAAAAATGAAATTTACATCTTTTCAAGCGAATTATTGCATTGAGTTTTCGTCAACAAGAACAGATGGAAGTTATAATATGAATGCTTATTAAACGAACATGATTGTACCGACTTAGTCTGAAGTGTTCGTGTAAATTATGTGTCATAAATAGTTTTGTATCACATGCGGATTCATAATGGATTATGCATGTTTATTATGATTGTTTCCTTGGGATCTTGGTGGCGCATGGATCTCCAACATCATATCCGCTGTGTATGCTGTCAGCCTCTTTTCCCACTTCTTGGTTTTCGTCAGTAAGTCTTTGGGTTCATGTGATATTAAACAAAACATCTACGAAATCCAGGACTCCTAGAGTCTTTTTATCGATCCAACGTATTCCTATCTTGTCGCTCCCTACGACTTGCCGCATTATCCAGTTCACAGGAATGTCATCGGTGATAGAAGACAGCCTTGTGGTTCTCCTGTCTTCACTTCCGTTGTGGTTCACTTGACAGGTGGTATTGTTACACTGCTTTTGAATGAGGTTGATAAAGACTTGAGCATTGCACGTTGTGATGTTAAAGTAGCTTCTAAATTACTTCTCGGTCAACGCTGTCTGGTGAAGGCCTTTTCGCGGGCGATGAAGTTGAGGTGAAAGTTTGACTACCACTCTTTGCTTTGTTCGGTGATAATAACGCGTAGAGTTGCAATTTGATCAGCACATGATTTGCCTTCCCTGAATCCAGCTTGTTCCAGTGGGGTGGAGTTCTGCATCCAGTGCATCTTTTATTCTCTCCAGGATGATGCGGCTTAGTAATTTGCTTAATGTCGGAAAGAGCAGGTTTCCGCGCCAGTTCTTTCAAAGGTATGTCTCCCTTCTTTATTAGTTTGACAAGGTAGCCTTCAGTTGGTACCTTTCCTTCCAAATTTTTTGTAATGGAAGCGTCAGCACATATGTTGTGGTCTCCGAATCATTTTTCAGTATTTCAAGGGGAATCCCATCTGATCTCGCTACCTTCCCGGACTTCAGTAGCTTGATTATATTCAAGGCTGCTATTGATACACGGTGATGTCCACTCTCAGTTCTTTAGCTATTGGTGGTGTTTCTGGACGAGTCACAAGTGATGGTAAGTTCAGTAGTTCCCTGAAGTGGTCAGCCCATTGTTTTCGTTGTCCGCCCCCTCTCTAGTAATTAGTTTTCCCTGACCATCTTCCTTAGGTTTTATCCGTATTTATGTCTTCTTGAACAGAGACCTGTTTATCTGATATAACTCCCTGAGGTCCCTTTTACCTTCGGCCTGCCCGTTCTGCTTCTAACGCTAACCAGTGTGTCGTAGAATTGCATGTTGTCTTTCCCACCAACCTTCTTCACTTCTTTATTCACTGAGCTGTGGACTGAACTCAGTTTCTTTTTTCGCTGTTCATCTTTGCACTGGTTCATCTTGTGTTTCATCGTTCTGCTTGTCTTTCAGTTTCTGAGTACCGGACTTGAATTGTGGTTTATCATCAGTTGCTTTGATGGCACTCACCTTGACCCTGAAGTCTCATTGCACTAGGTAATGGTCTAAGTGCACATCTGCTCTCCTTCTCAACTTTGTGTTCACCTCCAATCACCAAATCGCTGGAAGCGCAGTGATCTAGGAAGAGTTCTGTATTTTCATTCATTTCGCTGACAGCCTCCCGATCCATTATGGACTCTATTCCTATATTGTCTGCTTCTAGTTTGTCACTCATATAGTCCATAAGGATTTTGATGTCACTACTTAGAATGTCATCCAATTCTGTTTGCAACTGTCAATAGAAATCTTTCTTTTGTTCTGAGTTGTTTGTAGGCGCGTAGCATTGGTGGATTGTAATCCTCCTTCCTTTTTAGTTGAGTCTTTCCGTCACTATCCCGGAGGAGATTCGTTTCAACTGCATAAAGGTTCTTGATGGTGTTGATGACATCATGATAGTCACTCCCTCAGTGTTTTATCGGATGCCGTGTGGGAGTAGACTATTGACTCTCCAGTTAAGAATTTGGAGAGTCCACATCTATTCCACCCGCCGTCACAAAATCCCAGCACTTATATGGTACATCTCATTTCTTTGGCAACTTGGGTAGCCTTCCCAGCATCGTAAATTGTACGAACATTCCACGTCCCATTACTTGTTTTTGTTTTCATCCAAAGAAAACACGTCGGCTGACTGGTTATTTGAAGGCTCTTACTAGCCTACGTCATCTTTTGTTCCGGTAGCTCACTGTTTCGTGCTGAGGGGTGTAGTTGAATCGTCCTACTCAACTGACTTAGTAATGGTGGTAATTCTTATAGACTTCAGTGCATCGGTGAACCAAGTTTCGTTTCGGATAGTAGCGTTCAGTGAAATACTTGTGTCCTGTAATTCAATAGGGTAATATCAACGTTTGACTTAATCCAACTCCTGCATGACACATGCTTCAAATATGCATATGAAGTGTTAGATGAAATAAAACTATAATTTTGAAAATTCGAGTAGTTTTTTTAAATAAAGTATACTGAGCTTGAGTTGCTTGACAGACTCAGTGTAAAGTTAGTTGCAAATCAGAAAGGTGTCTGATAACCATTTGTTTTATAGTCATTGCTTTCCTTTCGAAATTGATCATACTATAGTGGTAGTTTTTTTAATCAATATTGAGTAGTTATTTTCTTTGGCTGTAATTTTGTGTTAAGCTCCGTGTGAAATAATCGCACCATACCATGATACAACTTTACTGACCGATAATTTTCCTAATATCTTCATTTCACCCTACTTATAGTTGGCTTTATACCTAAGTGCTTCAATGTTCTCTGGATTGAACGTCATTGAAGGGTTTGAGCATAATGGAGTAAATCAAATTAATTATAATGATATTTCAACAGTTTAGACAATGATAAAAAAACTGATTATGTGTAAACTATTGAAATGTAGTTATAGATAATTCCGCAGAATGTTTAATATGCTCAACGAAAGTTTTGCTGTTCCTGAAAAAGTTAGATGGGGTGACGGTTACTCTCATGAAGATGTGAGAAAAAGATAAATTGCATTAACACTTAATTATCTTTTCCTTTCAGTCATAGTCACCGTAATGATTTCGACGATCGTAAATTATCCGTGGTTTCTCGCCCCGATACGTATTCTTCCCAACGTTACCGCACTGAAAGAAACAATTTTTCGGAAATACGCCATAGGTCAAACCTGTTCTCTCGAACAAGACTGGAAGAAAGTCGGCGAGAATTCCGTGCAGTTAGTAGGAGTCCACCCCGTTCAAGAGACCCTACAATGATGCGACCATATCCAGTATCTGCCAGTTTAAGTCGACATCACATAGAAATTAGTCGTCGTAGCCGCAGTCCATCGAATTCCCACCGATCTGAAATCGTGGAATACGGGCATGGTTCAGGTGTGTTTTTTCTCATTTTTCCTAAAGAAATGTTAGTTTCCCTTATTATACCCTAGGTGTCACTATTTGTGTTTAATGCAGTAGTTTGTCCTATCAGTCATATGGAGGTCATTTTTGGTGTGGATTTTTTATATTGTTTTCATATAATGCCTTGATCTAATATATTTAATTGTTTTGACGTGTTCCTGAAATCCCCCTTTACCTGCATTGAAAATACCTTCGCTTAATTTGTTTTTTTTTGCCACTGATGTTAAAAAATTCTTGTGACAAACCGGATTAAAACCCTGAAAGTCACAATATCTATCCTTATTTGCGAAGCTTATCAAGAAACAATGGATTTTCTGATAGAAAAGTCGTGAAATGATAGTATTTTTGTTATTTTATACAATGCTTTTACGTGTGAAACGATTAGTTCACTTCATGAATTTCAACAAAATACGAAGAAGATATAATTTTTCTGATGTATCGTGTGATGTTTTGGTGCAACACCTTTTGAAAAATTCGATAATCTGTACTTATCATATGAAAAATAATGAAGGGTTCAGACAACTGTGAGAATTGACATACCTCATATGAAAATGCTATGTTGAGATTAGTAATAACGAAGCAGATAAATACAGTTAAAATGTAGGAACAATGGTGCACCAATCCTCGTATCAAAACAAAATTAAGGTCATGAGATTTGTGGAGATTTGGATTTATTTGATTTTATTTGTTAGGTGTCGTTACAAACCAACATTTAAAGTTCACTGAAAACCAAGGAAAAACTTAGGAGATTCAGAGTACCCCACCTAACACATTTTATTGCTACTTTTGAGAGACAAACAAATTTTAGTCTACATATTTTTAATCCGAAGGCGTCTTTCAATTATCACCAAAAGTGATATTTGAGATTTCAGTCTCCTGAAGATATGAAAACATGCCTGGAAGCCCTTATTTGCAGAGGTTGATTAGTCCTTCCTATTCATCTTTGGCCACGTTTAAATTGATAAATACGATGGGATGCGACTTTTTTCATGTTTTAAAAGTTTACACAAAAAATAGATTTACGATTCCTGGCCACACAAACGGTATTTTCCATAGTTGAGTTTAGTCTTCGTCTACATATCAAGCTAATATGATCACAAATTGAAGGTAGCACAGCTACTCTCAAAGATTTCTTGACTGTAATTGAACAATTATAAATAGCGACAAAATTCTATATGAGTACTCCAAATTTTCTTTAGTTTACATTTGTTTTCAGATACAACTCAAGTCAAACCTGCGAACATCTATCAGCTAACATGAATCTATTATTTCTACAACTCATAGATGCCTTTGAACATGTTTTATCGATGATATCTTGTCGTTTATCTTGTGGCCTACATGCTTTCCAATATCTATTCTTTCATTGCTTTACAGAACCGAAGATAGCCTGGCAAGGAGAACAACGTTCCAAAATGCTCTCTTCATTGTCGCAACATCAGTCATGGAGGCCAGCAACCCAAGCATTTTTCCAGTCTTCAGCATATGCTAATCGACCTACAGGACGCCGATATTAATTGAACAATGTTTCTTTGATGTCCTTCAATATATTTCATTATTAGCAATAAAAAATTCTTCTTCATAATCTAGAAAGAAATTGTACTCTAATAATTTTAGACCTACATTCAAGTATTTCGCAAAAGGGAAATAGTGACCAGCCAGGAAAAACGAACTTCATTCTACATAAAATAAACCCTTTCGAGCCAAAAAATTCCATTTCCTGATAGTACCACAATGATGCGTAAAATACCACCGTAGTGTCATAAGGTTCGTCTCTTCGGTGTTTTCTTCTACACTACATTAGTGCGTGAAATACGTGTGAGTACGATTGTGAGTGTTGTTATGGTTAGGGTTAGGGTGTTTGAGTGTGGTGTATCGACTTGTGTGTTGATGTTGTCTGTGTTGTGGCCTTTATGGATCCGTCCTGGTTATGTTTTCGATTTCCAGGAAGCCAATCACAAAGGGATATTGTCCTCTGGTTTCTTCGGAGAACCAGAAGTCACCTGGTTCTCACTTGTTGCCAGATAGATGTGTTTATTGTGAAGTAGTTGTGTTGGGTGAAGATGGTGTGTTTGTGTGTATTTCTGAGATGATTGGTGGTATCCTACGGTTTGTAGTATATTTCCGTTGGTGTGTGAGACTTTGTGAGCATGTGTATGAGAGAGTGATTGATTGATTGATTGATTGATTGAATGGAGGAGTAGTCGACTGATTGTGAGATTGATTGTTGGAGGCTGTCCAGTTGATTGTGGTTCTGTAGAGTGGGTTGTGTTGATTGTGAAGTAGTTTGTGTGTGTGTGTGGGTGTATGTGTTTGTGTGAATGGTGAAGTGAGTGTGTGTTGTTTTGTTTTGTTTCGAGTGTTTGTGTTGTGTCGTGTGGCGATGTGTTTGGATTTCGTGATTGTGTGTATTGAGTATAAATTGCGTTTCCCATAGAGCGTTGTGTGTTCTTCGTGGTTGATGAGTAGATGAGTATTGAGTGTATTTGATATGCTTGTCTTGTGGCTTTAGTATTTTGGTGTAGATGTCTGTGTGATGAGGGTATTGTATGTTAGTGGAGTATTCGACGTTTGTGTGTGGATGTGTGTTGTGGATGGATGGGAGACAGTGTCGCGGTGGATAGTGTTGAATGTATGCATGGGTGTTGTATTTAATCTTGAGGATGTGTATTTCTTGAACTGAGTGGTAGTCGTGTTGTTCCGTGGTTGTGAATTGGAGTGTGTGTCTGTCCGTGTGTGTTTGTCGGCGGGTGGGATTGTTCAGTCGTTGGTTGCGTTATGGTGTGTAGTGCGTGTATGCAAATGTGTATGTGTATGTGAATGTGAGTGTTGAATCAGTGTTGATTGATAATTGTGATTGAGTGAGTTATTTAGGATAAATATGAGTGAATGTGATTATTGATGGTAGTAGTACGCTTGTGAGTGTTGTTATGGTTAGGGTTAGGGTGTTTGAGTGTGGTGTATCGACTTGTGTGTTGATGTTGTCTGTGTTGTGGCCTTTGTGGATCCGTCCTGGTTATGTTTTCGATTTCCAGGAAGCCAATCACAAAGGGATATTGTCCTCTGGTTTCTTCGGAGAACCAGAAGTCACCTGGTTCTCACTTGTTGCCAGATAGATGTGTTTATTGTGAAGTAGTTGTGTTGGGTGAAGATGGTGTGTTTGTGTGTATTTCTGAGATGATTGGTGGTATCCTACGGTTTGTAGTATATTTCCGTTGGTGTGTGAGACTTTGTGAGCATGTGTATGAGAGAGTGATTGATTGATTGATTGATTGATTGAATGGAGGAGTAGTCGACTGATTGTGAGATTGATTGTTGGAGGCTGTCCAGTTGATTGTGTTTCTGTAGAGTGGGTTGTGTTGATTGTGAAGTAGTTTGTGTGTGTGTGTGTGTGGGTGTATGTGTTTGTGTGAATGGTGAGGTGAGTGTGTGTTGTTTTGTTTTGTTTCGAGTGTTTGTGTTGTGTCGTGTGGCGATGTGTTTGGATTTCGTGATTGTGTGTATTGAGTATAAATTGCGTTTCCCATAGAGCGTTGTGTGTTCTTCGTGGTTGATGAGTAGATGAGTATTGAGTGTATTTGATATGCTTGTCTTGTGGCTTTAGTATTTTGGTGTAGATGTCTGTGTGATGAGGGTATTGTGTGTTAGTGGAGTATTCGACGTTTGTGTGTGGATGTGTGTTGTGGATGGATGGGAGACAGTGTCGCGGTGGATAGTGTTGAATGTATGCATGGGTGTTGTATTTAATCTTGAGGATGTGTATTTCTTGAACTGAGTGGTAGTCGTGTTGTTCCGTGGTTGTGAATTGGAGTGTGTGTCTGTCCGTGTGTGTTTGTCGGCGGGTGGGATTGTTCAGTCGTTGGTTGCGTTATGGTGTGTAGTGTGTAGTGCGTGTATGCAAATGTGTATGTGTATGTGAATGTGAGTGTTGATTGATGATTGTGATTGAGTGAGTTATTTAGGATAAATATGAGTGAATGTGATTTTTGATGGTAGTGTAACAACAGAAGACAAGGGCCAGGCAACAGATCGTTTTATTATGAAAATCAACACGTATTTGTACATCTTTCAACTACATTATTATAGACAAGCGCAGTCATCTGATTGGTTGTTTAGGTAGACAAACGCAGGCTTCTGATTGGTTGTTTCGGGATTCCTTGACAAATAGAGTTCTCTCTGCGAATCATATTTTGCCACGTTAACTTTGCTGTGATTGGTTGTTGACTCAGGCTTGTTCACGGCCCATATTAGTGACCTAGACCTTAACGTAGATTAGTGGCAACCAATCGGCTAGCAGCCTGCTCTCACCACACTCGTCCCCCCGTCAAATACGTGCGACTGAAGTCGGCTTGATCTACTTGGTGCAGGCGTCATCGTTGGCTTGTCTCGCTGTATCCATTTCTGGAGCTCGCTGACGTTCACGCGCCTCTCATTGTTCGCCATTGCGACTGTGTCTGCGTAACCCCATCTCGAAGTGACCATATATGGTCCTTCCCACTTTGGAAACTGTTTGCCTGACCCTGTCGAACATTCGTCCATACTTCGGCCCACACCTTCATATGCTGCTTTCGCCCGACCTCCCAGCAGCGTCTCAAGTAGCAGCTCCATCGCTGACAGATCTTGAACGCCACTCAACTGCGCAGAAGCCTTGAAGTCCTGCCCGAAGATCCATATGTCTCCATCAAAAACTGCAGGGTATAGGCTTTTCATTTGTCGGTAGGCAGCGACACCAAATGTAACAACAGAAGACAAGGGCCAGGCAACAGATCGTTTTATTATGAAAATCAACACGTATTTATACATCTTTCAACTACATTATTATAGACAAGCGCAGTCATCTGATTGGTTGTTTCGGTAGACAAACGCAGGCTTCTGATTGGTTGTTTCGGGATTCCTTGACAAATAGAGTTCTCTCTGCGAATCATATTTTGCCACGTTAACTTTGCTGTGATTGGTTGTTGACTCAGGCTTGTTCACGGCCCATATTAGTGACCTAGACCTTAACGTAGATTAGTGCCAACCAATCGGCTAGCAGCCTGCTCTCACCACAGTAGTAGTACGCTTGTGAGTGTTGTTATGGTTAGGGTTAGGGTGTTTGAGTGTGGTGTATCGACTTGTGTGTTGATGTTGTCTGTGTTGTGGCCTTTGTGGATCCGTCCTGGTTATGTTTTCGATTTCCAGGAAGCCAATCACAAAGGGATATTGTCCTCTGGTTTCTTCGGAGAACCAGAAGTCACCTGGTTCTCACTTGTTGCCAGATAGATGTGTTTATTGTGAAGTAGTTGTGTTGGGTGAAGATGGTGTGTTTGTGTGTATTTCTGAGATGATTGGTGGTATCCTACGGTTTGTAGTATATTTCCGTTGGTGTGTGAGACTTTGTGAGCATGTGTATGAGAGAGTGATTGATTGATGGATTGATTGAATGGAGGAGTAGTCGACTGATTGTGAGATTGATTGTTGGAGGCTGTCCAGTTGATTGTGTTTCTGTAGAGTGGGTTGTGTTGATTGTGAAGTAGTTTGTGTGTGTGTGTGTGTGGGTGTATGTGTTTGTGTGAATGGTGAGGTGAGTGTGTGTTGTTTTGTTTTGTTTCGAGTGTTTGTGTTGTGTCGTGTGGCGATGTGTTTGGATTTCGTGATTGTGTGTATTGAGTATAAATTGCGTTTCCCATAGAGCGTTGTGTGTTCTTCGTGGTTGATGAGTATTGAGTGTATTTGATATGCTTGTCTTGTGGCTTTAGTATTTTGGTGTAGATGTCTGTGTGATGAGGGTATTGTGTGTTAGTGGAGTATTCGACGTTTGTGTGTGGATGTGTGTTGTGGATGGATGGGAGACAGTGTCGCGGTGGATAGTGTTGAATGTATGCATGGGTGTTGTATTTAATCTTGAGGATGTGTATTTCTTGAACTGAGTGGTAGTCGTGTTGTTCCGTGGTTGTGAATTGGAGTGTGTGTCTGTCCGTGTGTGTTTGTCGGCGGGTGGGATTGTTCAGTCGTTGGTTGCGTTATGGTGTGTAGTGTGTAGTGCGTGTATGCAAATGTGTATGTGTATGTGAATGTGAGTGTTGATTGATGATTGTGATTGAGTGAGTTATTTAGGATAAATATGAGTGAATGTGATTTTTGATGGTAGTGTAACAACAGAAGACAAGGGCCAGGCAACAGATCGTTTTATTATGAAAATCAACACGTATTTGTACATCTTTCAACTACATTATTATAGACAAGCGCAGTCATCTGATTGGTTGTTTAGGTAGACAAACGCAGGCTTCTGATTGGTTGTTTCGGGATTCCTTGACAAATAGAGTTCTCTCTGCGAATCATATTTTGCCACGTTAACTTTGCTGTGATTGGTTGTTGACTCAGGCTTGTTCACGGCCCATATTAGTGACCTAGACCTTAACGTAGATTAGTGGCAACCAATCGGCTAGCAGCCTGCTCTCACCACACTCGTCCCCCCGTCAAATACGTGCGACTGAAGTCGGCTTGATCTACTTGGTGCAGGCGTCATCGTTGGCTTGTCTCGCTGTATCCATTTCTGGAGCTCGCTGACGTTCACGCGCCTCTCATTGTTCGCCATTGCGACTGTGTCTGCGTAACCCCATCTCGAAGTGACCATATATGGTCCTTCCCACTTTGGAAACTGTTTGCCTGACCCTGTCGAACATTCGTCCATACTTCGGCCCACACCTTCATATGCTGCTTTCGCCCGACCTCCCAGCAGCGTCTCAAGTAGCAGCTCCATCGCTGACAGATCTTGAACGC